TTCTTGTTTTAAAATGTACGGACAGACAGAGGCACACTCCAACACTCCAACATAATTTACAAACACATCATTTGTGTTTAGTGAGTCCACCAGATCAGAGGCAGTAGGGATGACAACGCATTATATTGATAGGTGTGTGAATTGGACCATATTGCTGTCCTGCCTGAGCATTCGAAATGTAGCAAGTACTTTTGTGTGTCAGGGAAAATGTATTAGAGAAAAAAGTACATATTTTCTTTAAGAATGTAATCAAGTAAAAGTACAAGTACAGATACCCCCTAAAACTACTTAAGTACTTTAAACCACTGGTAATAGTCGTGTATTTGATACCCTCTTGAAATAGTTGATGAAATCAGTAACAGTACATTTCCTGAATCAGTGTAGCCCTTGACACAGTCTCTCTCAATCTCCCTCTCCTCATAATGCCATATTGGCCCATTTATATTTTAATTTGTTCACAGCTTTCTTTGCTGCCAGGGGGCTGAGTACATTCTTTGAGTAATCCAGCCAAACACACACACACACGTACGCACACATGCATGCACGCAAGCACACATACAAAAACACACACACACACACACACACTTTCTCTGTCAGAACTCGAGTCCACCAGAAATATCGTAAGGAATAACTGGAATATTCTTAAGCAATCAATGTGACAGGTGAGTACTGGATTCGTAAGTAATTCCTATTGTATGGGAATCCTAGTGGGATCATGAGGGAATGCAGAGGTAGTGTATTGCGAGTTACGGCAGCCAAAAGATGGAACGCAAAGAGGAACTGAAAGGTGTTGTGAAGCAGAAACTGAGACAGAAAACTAAATGGAGTGTGTTGAAAACAAAGTAAAGTTGAAAGAATGAATCAAATCACACATCATAGTGTCTGACATACTGTAGATGAATGGATTTGGAACTTAATGCCAAGCCCTTTGACCAGTGACCACAGGAGAATCTGGGGATAAGAGAAGCAGGTTTATACGGGGTACAAGGCTTGAGAGTTTAGCTTTCACAACTCCATTGGGTAAAATACATAAAGCTCATGTTTTTCCCAAGAGCTCAAAGTGCATTATATTGAAAGAGGGGGACATCACCTCATGCACTGCCATCCACTGCGCTTCCAATGCCATCCATTAGTTTTCTCAAAGAGAATGAGAGAAGGGTTCTATTTGGCTAGAGTTCCTTAGGCTGGTGACCTGGGTCATGTTCACGGGGAGAGATGTTTTGAAACAGATTCAGGTCATTCAGTGTAACCTTAACCCTCACTCTTACCCTAATCCTTGGGAGGATGCCTGTGGTCACCTTTAAAACATTTGGAAAGATGGGACATTTAGAAAAACATAATGTTGAATAGTACATTTGAAACCTCCAAGAGGTTGTTCAATGTCATCTTCTAACCCATTGCAACAAATTTGGGTAGATAGAACGCTTAGAATAAAAGTTTTTATATCAGAGATGGACTACCATTCACCTGTTGTGATCCAGGATGTCCAAGAATGTTATCATCCACAGGACAATATCTATACAGTGCCTTCAGAAAGTGTTCATACCCCTTGACCTGCTCCACATGTTGTTGTGTTACAGCCTAAATTCAAAATGTATGAAATTGATTTTTTTCTCATCCATCTACACACAATACCCCATAATGACTAAGTGAAAACGTATTTTTTTAAATGTTAGCAAAATATGTCATTTACAAAAGTATTTGTACCCCTTAGTCAATACGTTAGAATGACCTTTGGCAGCAATTACAGTTGTGAGTCTTTCTCTAAGAGCTTTGCACACCTGGATTGTACAATATTATATATTATTTTTTAAATTCTTCAAACTCCATCAAGTTGGTTGTTGATTATTGCTATACAGCCATTTTCAAGTCTTGCCATAGATTTTCAAGTCGATTTAAGTCAAAACTGTAACTAAGCTACTCAGGAGCATTCAATGTCGTCTTGGTAAGCAACTCCAGTGTATATTTGCCCTTTTGTTTTAGGTTCTGCTGAAAGGTGAATTTGATTCCCAGTGTCTGTTGGAAAGCAGACTAAACCAGGTTTTCCTCTAGGATTTTGCCTGTGCTTACCTCTATTCAATTTTCTTTTATCCTAAAAAACTTCCTAGTCCTTGCCGATGAAAAGCATACCCATAACATGATGCAGCCACCACCATGCTTGAAAATACGAAGAGTGGTACTCAGTGATGTGTTGTGTTGGATTTGCCCCAAACATAATGCTTTGTATTCAGGACATAAAGGTAATTTATTTGCCAATTTCTTTGCAGTTTTACTTTAGTGCCTTATTGCAAACAGGATGCATGTTTTGGAATATTTTTATTCTGTACATGTGTCCTTCTTTTCACTCTGTCATTTACAGTATATTAGTATTGTGGAGTAACTACAATGTTGTTGAGCCATCCTCAGTTTTCTCCTATCACAGCCATTAAACTCTGTAACTGTTTTAAAGTCACCATTGGCCTCGTGGTGAAATCCCGGAGAGGTTTCCTTCCTCTCCGGCAACTGAGTTGGGAAGGACGCCTGTATCTTTGTAGTGACTTGGTGTATTGATACACCATCCAAAGTGTAATTAATAACTTCACCATGCTCAAAGGGATATTCAATGTCTGCTTTTTACATTTTTACCCATCTATCAATAGGGGCCCTTCTTTGCGAGGCATTGGAAAACCTCCCTGGTCTTGAATCTGTGTTTGAAATTCACTGTTCGACTGAGGGACCTTACAGATAATTGTATGTGTTGGGTAAAAAGATGAGGTAGTCATTCAAAAATCATGTTAAACACTATTGTTGCACACAGAGTTAGTCCATGCAACTTATTATGTGACTTGTTAAGCCCATTTTTACTCCTGAAATTATTTGGGCTTGCCATAACAAAGGGGTTCAATACTTATTGACTGAAGACATTACATTTTCATTTGTAATTAATTTGTAAAAAAAATATAAAAACATAATTCCACTTTGACATTATGGGGTATTGTGTGTAGGCCAGTGGCACAAAATGTCAATTTAATCCATTTTAAATTCAGGCTGTAACACAACAAAATGTTGAAAAAGTCAAGGGGTGTGAATACTTTCTGAAGACACTGTAACTAGGTGCCTCGGATGAAATGCCTTGGATGTGGAGCTCCAGGTTAGATCCCAGCCGATTTCAGCCAAGGTAGGGCATCTCCCAATGCAAAATTAGTCCAAGAATCCTATTAAAACTCTAACCATAACTCCCATGTGGTACCTTTTTTGTTGACGTAAGTTGGATAAAGATGGATAGAACCATTCTGGGAAGGTGAATGTTTTTGATTGTTCTAGAATTGTTCATATAAACCATATAATCACTGTGTTATTCCAACGTTACATTGTGCTGTAAGCTTGAGGAATCAGGCCTTCAAAAAGACTAGAGGAGGAGGGGTTTGGGAGAAGTAGGTATGTGAGCGTGTGTGTGTGCATGTGTGTGTGTGTGTGTGTGTGTGTGTATGTGGGGGGTGGGGGGGGGAATTAGTAACAGCTGAGTACATGTTGACTTAAATGACCTTGCATTCCTTCAAACTCACCCTTTTCTCCCCCCTCCCATGTACCTCTCCTAATAATGACCCATTATTTTGGCCATGTCCCTCCCCAGCCAACTGGACAACAGGGGTCCATTTCCTCCACTGGCTAACCCTGCTAGACCAGCACTCTAAAGAGGAAGACAGTAGAGGAGAGACGAGGAGAGGGGGATTAGTTAACCCTGCTAGACCAGCACTCTAAAGGAGAAGACGAAAAGGGGATTAGTTAACTTCTGACACTGGTAAGTTCTATTTCATGACTACTACACAGTGTATTTGGAAATTGGTTTTCTCTCTAAGCATACTCTTGTGCTGCTAAACCCCACTGCCACTAGAGAATGACTCAAGGGCCAATGGGGTTTGGTTTTATTAGGGGACTAATAGAGTGGACTACAATAAAACTGGTAATGTCAATCGGTACACATCATCATAAAGGGGTGTAATGACACTTTTGTTAATGTCATGTCCCAGATTGTGATTTGGATATGTGTCTGATTGGCGACAACGTTACTGTTATTTTGCTGACTCATTACATACAATGTAATTCCTACATATGCACATGTTTAAGTCATTCAATTGACATCCATTGAAACTCATTCCTGATGTTTCTGTAGCTGTGGCTTGACTAGTACAATATCAGCACTCAGTATGTTGATAATATCGGTTATCTCAATATCTATTCAATAGGTCATCAAATAATATAGAACTTTTGGTGCTTAATCCTGTTATGTGTGTGACTTGTGTTAAGTTCTGTTGGCACCAGACAAACCCAAAGCCAGACTCACACACCCATGTCTGCTTACTGAGCAAACATTCCATCTGCATTCTTACCAACAAACTCAACAATACTCCCTTGGTTGCAAAGCAACAGGGATCCTAGATGTGACCCCTGGGCAACCTTAGGTCTGATCTGAGGTCAGATCTGAGGTGCAGAAACAAACACCAAAAACCTACAGGGTCCCATTCGGAGAACAGGGAAATGTGGAGAAGGCTGTACATCGTTTGAAATATCCAGAGTGGCATTTAATTTGCCCTTGGAGGTGATTGTGTCTGAGGCAGTGGACAGCTGGAGATGTGTGTCTGTGTCTGTGTGTGCGTGTGAACACAGACGTCTCCAGCTGTACTCAGGCTAGACAGGCCGGAGGCGGTAGGGAGAGGTGGACACTAGAGGTCAGGCAAACATTGGACTAATGACCTTGTTAAAATTACCATGCAGATGGGGTTTACTAACCAAAAAATCTAACAGGTTAATACCGCAGATTGTGACCATGCAGAATTCATACACAACCTTCGCTTTATCACAACTGATCATCCTCTGAGGTGACATGGTTGCGATATAAATTGGAACCAAGTGCTGTATTTGTAAGATGATTTGGTGCATTTTAGATGCTAGCATTAACCCTAACCAGAGGCTACTGAATTTAACCCTTTGACTGACAATCTCTTATCACAGGTAGTTCCATGTGTAGCCTGAGAATGGCGCTGCTGTGTGTGGTTGTGGCCTTTGCCCTGACTCTGCAAGGCCCCTGCCCCAGTGTGTGTGCCCCTCAGGGGGGGCCGGAGCCAGACGAACAGCCCTATGACCTGGATGAATTTGATATGAATGGAGAGACAGACTGGGAAAACCTGGACCTCAATGGAGAAAACTATGACTATGAAGACCTAGACCAAGAGGTGAGAAAGAGAGGAGGGGAGAGACTATCAGAGGGTGAGAAAGAAGAGGAAGGAACGAGAGAGGAGAGGCAAGATAAAGAGAGAAGAAAATTAAGAGTGGACAATAGGGGAGAGAGGAATGGGTGTGAGAGGGAAGGGAAGGAATAATGGGTGTGGAAGAAGGGAAAGGAGAAAGAGTGGCTGAGAGAGGTGAATTGGTCAATCTACTAATGTACTCTTCTCTGTGAGAGCAGATCGAGGTGGGGACGGTGGCCCCCCCTGCTCCTGAGACCCCTCCCCCGGCCAACGTGCCCCCTCCTGAGTATGAGGAGGAGGTGACCCTGCCCCCCAGGCCGATCCCTCCCCTGGCTCCAGTAACTCTGGACTTCAAAGGACCAGGCCTGTTTGGACCTGACACTGGCCTGGGTGAGCCATGTGTGAGTGTGTGTGTGTGTGTGTGCATGCGTGCACGAAATGTCATCTCTCTCTGTGCAGGTATACCTCCGTGTCTGCTGTGTGTATAATAATAATAATAATAATAATAATAATAATAATAATAATAATAATATATGCCATTTAGCAGACATTTTATCCAAAGTGACTTACAGTCATGCATGCATACCAGCGTGTGTGTGTGTAATGTTCTCTCTGTCTCTGTGCAGGTATGCCTACATGTTTGCTGTGTGTGTGCATCAGTGGAAGTGTGTATTGTGATGATGCTGACCTGGAGCAGATTCCTCCACTGCCTAAAGACACCACACATTTCTACGGCCGCTTCAACAGTATCAGACACGTCAAGAACACTGACTTCATCAACCTCAGTAAGATACATGCACACACACAGGCACGGAGGCATGCACACACACACACACACAAACACAAACACATTTACGCAGCCATGCACACATGCACACATTAAATTGTGCATAAGAGCATTTTTAAATTGTTAACCTCTAAGCCGTTGGGGTGGTGGGGGTGGGAGTTCTACTAAGCTAACATGGATTTGTTTTAAGATGGTCCTACCCAATGTTCTCTCTCATTTTTTCGGCACTGAACAAATTTCAGGTCTGCTGAGCGCAAACTTGAACATTGTGAAATTTCTGTTCAACTTCCCGCGGGTGTTTACTGTGAACACTGAGGATGTACCCGCTTTAAGTTACAGGTTTAATAGTGGCCAAGTCAGCTGCTGTGGCTATTTGATCATTATGTAGGCCTAACAGAGTGGCCTACCATCAAAAACAATGGATAAAAATGCATCCCCTAACATTTTAGCATAGAAATAGCTGTTCTATCATTCAGCCTACAGTAGCAGCAAATGTGTGGTGTTCAATGTAGGCCTACCATGAGACTTTTGAAAAAAAACATGCACGGCTTGATATTAACCTGTTTATCCACTTGTCCTTCAGACAAGGCGGTGACTGAAAATGTTGTGTTGTCTGATGCAAGAAACCACTTTACAAAATAAAAATCATTATTATTGCCATACCATTATTACAGAGAATCAGACAAATTATGTTACCCTCTGCCTATTGGCTACTTAGCTTATTTAAGACAGTCTCAAAATACAACACTGCCCCTTTAAGATATAAAAGCTGTTTACCTGACTTGCCTGATATAAGATATAAAAGCTGTTTACCAAAGATTTTGTGCTCTTGTAGGAAGCAACCACTCCTGCACTGTTGACTACAAATGAGCTATAACTGGGCTAATAACTCACTAAATAGCAAATAATATAAACAAATGTGCACAGGTGGCTACATGCAGCTCTCGCTTTGATCTCAAAACAAGTGCATCTACTCTCGACCGCTCATGCACAGATCCATACAGTGAGGGAAAAAAGTATTTGATCCCCTGCTGATTTTGTACATTTGCCAACTGACAAAGACATGATCAGTCTATAATTTTAATGGTAGGTTTATTTGAACAGTGAGAGACAGAATAACAACAAAACAAAAATGTTATAAATTGATTTGCATTTTAATGAGGGAAATAAGTATTTGACCACTCTGCAAAACATGACTTAGTACTTGGTGTCAAAACCCTTGTTGGCAATCACAGAGGTCAGACGTTTCTTGTAGTTGGCCACCAGGTTTGCACACATCTCAGGAGGGATTTTGTCCCACTCCTCTTTGCAGATCTTCTCCAAGTCATTAAGGTTTTGAGCCTGACGTTTGGCAACTCGAACCTTCAGATCCCTACACAGATTTTCTATGGGATTAAGGTCTGGAGACTGGCTAGGCTACTCCAGGACCTTAATGTGCTTCTTCTTGAGCCACTCCTTTGTTGCGTTGGCCGTGTGTTTTGGGTCATTGTCATGCTGGAATACCCATCCACGACCCATTTTCAATGCCCTGGCTGAGGGAAGGATTTGACGGTACATGGCCCCGTCCACCGTCCCTTTGATGCGGTGAAGTTGTCCTGTCCCCTTAGCATAAAAACACCCCCAAAGCATAATGTTTCCACCTCCATGTTTGACGGTGGGGATGGTGTTCTTGGGGTCATAGGCAGCATTCCTCCTCCTCCAAACACGGCGAGTTGAGTTGATGCCTAAGAGCTCCATTTTGGTCTCATCTGACCACAAAACTTTCACCCAGTTCTCCTCTGAATCATTCAGATGTTCATTGGCAAACTTCAGACGGGCATGTATATGTGCTTTCTTGAGCAGGGGGACCTTGCGGGCACTGCAGGATTTCAGTCCTTCACGGCATAGTGTGTTACCAATTGTTTTCTTGGTGACTATTGTCCCAGCTGCCTTGAGATCATTGACAAGATCCTCCCGTGTAGTTCTGGGCTGATTCCTCACCGTTCTCATGATCATTGCAACTCCACGAGGTGAGATCTTGCATGGAGCCCCAGGCCGAGGGAGATTGACAGTTATTTTGTGTTTCTTCTATTTGCGAATAATCACACCAACTGTTGTGACCTTCTCACCAAGCTGCTTGGCGATGGTCTTGTAGCCCATTCCAGCCTTGTGTAGGTCTACAATCTTGTCCCTGACATTCTTGGAGAGCTCTTTGGTCTTGGCCATGGTGGAGAGTTTGGAATCTGATTGCTTCTGTGGACAGGTGTCTTTTATAAAGGTAACTTAGAAATAGGTGCATTCACCTTATAGCCAGTGGGATAACCACTTTTGCAAAGTTATTTTTTATTTTTGTCTTTTTTGTTTAATATTTTTTAATTAGTTTGTTAGTTAATTCTTTTTTTTTTTTTTTTTTGTGGGGGGGGTGGGGTGTGGGTTGGAGTAAAGGAGGGGGGGTAGAAGGATTACTTTATCCTATCCCAGGTATTCCTTAAAGAGGTGGGGTTTCAAATGTCTCCGGAAGGTGGTGAGTGACTCCGCTGTCCTGGCGTCGTGAGGGAGCTTGTTCCACCATTGGGGTGCCAGAGCAGCGAACAGTTTTGACTGGGCTGAGCGGGAACTATGCTTCCGCAGAGGTAGGGGAGCCAGCAGGCCAGAGGTGGATGAACGCAGTGCCCTCGTTTGGGTGTAGGGACTGATCAGAGCCTGAAGGTACGGAGGTGCCGTTCCCCTCAACTCCGTAGGCAAGCACCATGGTCTTGTAGCAGATGCGAGCTTCAACTGGAAGCCAGTGGAGTGTGCGGAGGAGCGGGGTGACATGAGAGAACTTGGGAAGGTTGAACACCAGACGGGCTGCGGCATTCTGGATGAGTTGTAGGGGTTTAATGGCACAGGCAGGGAGCCCAGCCAACAGCGAGTTGCAGTAATCCTGATGGGAGATGACAAGTGCCTGGATTAGGACCTGTGCCGCTTCCTGTGTAAGGCAGGGTCGTACTCTCCGAATGTTGTAGAGCATGAACCTACAGGATCGGGTCACCGCCTTGATGTTAGCGGAGAACGACAGGGTGTTGTCCAGGGTCACGCCAAGGCTCTTCGCACTCTGGGAGGAGGACACAACGGAGTTGTCAACCGTGATGGCGAGATCATGAAACGGGCAGTCCTTCCCCGGGAGGAAGAGCAGCTCCGTCTTGCCGAGGTTCAGCTTGAGGTGGTGATCCGTCATCCATACTGATATGTCTGCCAGACATGCAGAGATGCGATTCGCCACCTGGTTATCAGAAGGGGGAAAGGAGAAGATTAGTTGTGTGTCGTCAGCGTAGCAATGATAGGAGAGGCCATGTGAGGATATGACAGAGCCAAGTGACTTGGTGTATAGCGAGAATAGGAGAGGGCCTAGAACTGAGCCCTGGGGGACACCAGTGGTGACAGCACGTGGTGCGAAGACAGCTTCTCGCCACGCCACTTGGTAGGAGCGACCGGTCAGGTAGGACGCAATCCAAGAGTGAGCAGCGCCGGAGATGCCCAGCTCGGAGAGGGTGGAGAGGAGGATCTGATGGTTCACAGTATCAAAGGCAGCAGACAGGTCTAGAAGGACAAGAGCAGAGGAGAGAGAGTTAGCTTTAGCAGTGCGGAGTGCCTCTGTGACACAGAGAAGAGCAGTCTCAGTTGAATGACCAGTGTTGAAACCTGACTGGTTTGGATCAAGAAGGTCATTCTGAGAGAGATAGCAAGAGAGTTGGCTAAAGACGGCACGCTCAATAGTTTTGGAGAGAAAATAAAGAAGGGATACTGGTCTGTAGTTGTTGACATCAGAGGGATCGAGTGTTGGTTTTTTGAGAAGGGGTGCAACTCTCGCTCTCTTGAAGACGGAAGGGACATAGCCAGCGGTCAAGGATGAGTTGATCAGCGAGGTGAGGTAAGGGAGAAGGTCACCGGAGATGGTCTGGAGAAGAGAGGAGGGGATGGGGTCAAGCGGGCAGGTTGTTGGGCGGCCTGCCGTCACAAGTCGCAAGATTTTATCTGGAGAGAGAGGGGGAGAAAGAAGTCAAAGCATAGGGTAGGGCAGTGTGAGCAGGACCAGCAGTGTCATTTGACTTAACAAACGAGGATCGGATGTCGTCAACCTTCTTTTCAAAATGGTTGACGAAGTCATCCACAGAGAGGGAGGAGGGGGGAGGGGGGGGGGGGGGGGGGGGATTCAGCAGGGAGGAGAATGTGGCAAAGAGCTTCCTAGGGTTAGAGGCGGATGCTTGGAATTTAGAGTGGTAGAAAGTGGCCTTAGCAGCAGAAACAGATGAAGAAAATGTAGAGAGGAGGGAGTGAAAAGATGCCAGGTCTGCAGGGAGTCTAGTTTTCTTCCATTTCCGCTCAGCTGCCCGGAGCTCTGTTCTGTGAGCTCGCAATGAGTCATCAAGCCACGGAGCTGGAGGGGAGGACCGAGCCGGCCGTGAGGATAGGGGACATAGAGAGTCAAAGGATGCAGAAAGGGAGGAGAGGAGGGTTGAGGAGGCAGAATCAGGAGATTGGAGGGAGAAGGATTGAGCAGAGGGAAGAGATGATAGGATGGAAGAGGAGAGAGTAGCGGGAGAGAGAGAGCGAAGGTTGCGACGGCGCATTACCATCTGTGTAGGGGCAGAGTGAGAAGTGTTGGAGGAGAGGGAGAGAGAAAAGGATACAAAGTAGTGGTCGGAGACTTGGAGGGGAGTTGCAGTGAGATTAGTAGATTACCTGTAGCTAGTAGATTACCTCAGCTCATTACCTGTATAAAAGACACCTGGGAGCCAGAAATCTTTCTGATTGAGAGGGGGTCAAATACTTATTTCCCTCATTAAATGCAAATCAATTTATACAATTTTTGACGTGTTTTTCTGGATTTTTTTGTAGTTATTCTGTCTCTCACTGTTCAAATAAACCTACCATTAAAATTATAGATTGATCATTTCTTTGTCAGTGGGCAAACGTACAAAATCAGCAGGGGATCAAATACTTTTTTCCCTCACTGTATATGGCAATGGTTATTTGCATATAGGCCAACTGCTTCTCTGATTGGTTATGGCGCACTGGTCTGTGTAGAGTAGATCCCTGAGTCCTGCATGTCAATGCAATAGAATCCTACTCCAATGCGCTCTGCCTACAAAAAAAGATCTTGCACAGTTAGTTTTGCATACTAAGTCTTGCATAGTTCATTTTGTTTCGGTATGTTACATTGAAAGTGGCTAATATTTGGTTTATTTATGTTTTATTTTCCGTGAAAGCAGACTCCCGAAATAAACATCCAGCTTTCTAAAATAATATTGCAGCCTTCTACAAATTGACATCTAACCAGCCATATATTGATTATTCCAAGTTTCTGTGTGGTCTTTGTCTAATGTATGTTTACCCAATACATGTTTAACCAATACATGTTTAACCAGTACCATATTAGAATGTTCATACAGCCAGACTGCAAGCGCACGTCCTAAGAAATAATTGCTGAGCGAAATTTGTTTCCTACCACTTATTTTCTGCGATCTTGCATTTATATAGCAGCATCTTACATGACATATTCAGTGCCTTCGGAAAGTATTCAGACCCCTTGACTTTTCCCACATTTTTTAAACGTTACAGCCTTTTTCTAAAATGGATTAAATATAAAAAAATCTCTGCGATCTACACACAATACCCCACAATGACAAAGTGAAAACAGGTTTTTAAATGTTTGCACATTTATTCCAAAAAAAAAACAGAAATACCTTATTTACATAAGTATTCAGACCCTTTGCTATGAGACTCGAAATTGAGCTCAGGTGCATCCTGTTTCCATTGATCATCCTTGAGATGTTTCTACAACTTGATTAGAGTCCACCTGTGGTAAATTCAATTGATTGGACATGATTTGGAAAGGCACACACCTGTCTATATAAGGTCCCACAGTTGACAGTGCATATCAGAGCAAAAACCAAGCCATGAGGTCGAAGGAATTGTCTGTAGAGCTCCGAGACAGGATTGTGTCGAGGCACAGATCTGGGGAAAAGTACCAAAAAATGTCCCCAAGCATTGAAGGTCCCCAAGAACACAGTGGCCTCCATCATTCTTAAATGGAAGAAGTTTGGAACCACCAAGACTCTTCCTAGAGCTGGCCGCCCGCAATCAAGGGAGAAGGGCCTTGGTCAGGGAGTTGACCAAGAACCCGATGGTCACTCTGGCAGAGCTCCAGAGTTCCTCTGTGGAGATGGGAGAACCTCCAAGAAGGACAACCATCTCTGCAGCACTCCACCAATCAGGCCTTTATGGTAGAGTGGCCAGACGGAAGCAACTCCTCAGTAAAAGGCACATGACAGCCTCCTTGGAGTTTGCCAAAAGTCACCTAAAGACTCTCAGACCAATGGAAACAAGATTCTCTGGTCTGATGAAATCAAGATTGAACTCTTTGGCCTGAATGCCAAGCGTCACGTCTGGATGAAACCTGGCACCATCCCTACGGTGAAGCATGGTGGTGGCAGCATCATGCTGTGCGGATGTTTTTCAGCAGCAGGGACTGGGAGAATATTCAGGATCGAGGCAAAGATGAACGGAGCAAAGTACAGAGATCCTTGATGAAAACCTGCTCCAGAGCTCTCAGGACCTCAGACTGGGGCGAAGGTTCACCTTACAACAGGACAACGACCCTAAGCACACAGCCAAGACAACGCAGAAGTGGCTTCAGGACAAGTCTCTGAACGTCCTTGAGTGCAGTGGTGACCCATCATTCAGGGCAGGTGGGGCATAAAATAACAGGGGTTTGCCTGTTTAGCATGTTATTTTGGCATTAATACGTGTGACATATCAGTTTGCAAACAGTGTAAAAAATAAATATTCATTGAGTTAATAAAGCCGCATACAAAAATGCGTTCTTGAGTAAGGCAGCTCCAAAATGCAGGTGTTTCAGCCTAGCTCAGTACTTTCTGTGGTGGTGGTGGGGCAGCATGCGGAAAATACGGAGCGTAGGGTTTGGGAATGATCTCTAGTTGCGCCGTGATTGACTTAGTGTTCTGTCACTCATGGGGACACTACGTCACCGCCAAGTCTAAGGGTAGAGCTAGAAAATTCAAGCCCCTTGGGTGCTGCCATAGAGTTACATTAAAGTGCCCATCCAAGAAGGCTCAAGTTCATTTGCCACAGATAAAATGACGTCAAAGCACGTTATATCTAGCTTTGATTGGACTGATCATGTCAATGTCATACTTTCAAAATCTTAGCTAGCAGTCATCATCATGAATCAAGTCGACAATCTACTGGCAAATCCTTTTTAATTCTTGTCATATGAAGAGAAATAATGAAGAGAAATGAATGGCTAATCGGCCATTGGACATAAACATTACACAACAAGTTGGAAATGGCAAATTCAAAAATGAGGGGTTTGGAAGGAATCAGTGGCTAACTGCAAGCATTGCAAAGCAATCACTAGCCTGCTATTCAGCGCGTGGCTGTGTGGTCCCAAGTCTGGGATTAAGGGTCTCTTTTCCAAGCTTAAAATTATAAACATTCAACATTGGCCATGCTGTCAATGAAGCACGATTTGTGCCGAGCTCAAAACAACTGTTAACTCGAAATCTGACTTCAGTGAGTTCAAGACAACTGGGAACTCGGGAAAAAACGAGCTCAGACTGGGAAAATACGTTTTGAACGGTCATCAAACTCGGAAATGTAAATCGGGAACTCGGGCCTCTTTCATCATCATTCAATCTTGTTTTTTTCCGAGTTCCCAGTTGTCTTGAAAGCACCATAAATCCAGAGAATGCCAGACTTTGATGACAAAGTTTGATGACAAAATCTGCCCACGAAGGACCACCGTGCCACCTTCCTGTTCAAGTGAGCACAGCACAACAAGGTGAGTCCAAACATATATTGTATGCTGCTGCATAAATGATGTAATAAGCCAGGGAGATATGTATACTGTAGCTAAGAATGTAATACTAAGTGTATGTTGTGTAGTAAGCTGTTAGTAGCCCATGTGCCTCACCCTAATAATTTGGTATATTTTCCCCTCCCAATTTCGCCTACTGTTCTGACTTGGTGGTGCACATGTAGCCTATAACCTGTTTTGGAGAAATGTAATCTTGTAAGAGCTTTCATTGTCTGCTTATATGCCCCCTTTATTTATCCTACGGTTCTGACTTGACGTACAGGGAGAACACTGTAAGAACATCCGCTTGTCGTCCCTTTAGTTTGTACATCTCAATTGTCAGTAGAAACCATATTTGTTTAAGCAAGTCAGCCATATCAGCTATGTTTTTTTTAAAGGCAGTAAATGAGGCTGAATGAACTGTTTTGCTGCCAGACAAGGCTCCGCTGATAGCAATGTGTAGCAGTGGTAAGGTGTTGGGACTGCTGTTGGGACTCTGCTGCTGCGACAGCTTTATGTAAGCCCTAACAGTTTGGTGGGCACCATTTGTCACTGTTATAGTGCGATTAATGTATTGTTTAGTGTTGTGTTGTGGCTTTGCTGGCATGCATCCCATAATTTTGTTTTTGGGCCCCACCAAGATTGACATGCTAAAATCACCGCTGTGTCACACCCTGATCTGTTTCACCTGTCTTGTGCTTGTCTCCACCCCCCACCAGGTGTCTCCCATTTTCACCATTATCCCCAGTGTATTTATACCTGCGTTTTCTGTTTGTCTGTTGCCAGTTCATCTTTTCTTGCCACGTCTTATCAGCGTGTTTTCCAGTCTCTCCAGTTTCTGTTTTCTAGTTCTCCCGGTACTGACCTTTCTGCCTGCCGTGACCCTGAGCCTGCCAGCCGTTCTGTACCTGCTTGATTCTGACCTGGTTTATGAAGTTCTGCCTCTCCTGACCATGAGCCTGTCTGCCGTCCTGTACCTGTCGGACCGCTGTTCTAGGTTACGACCTCTGACTGGCCCTCCGACCCTGCCCTTTGCCTTGTGCCCCCGCCCCGTAGTTATTTATAAATTATCTGAGAACTGAACCATCCCGCTTCCTGTGGTCTGCATCTGGGTCTTATCCGGAGTCCGTGATAGTACGACATTGGCCATGGACTGACCAGCCAGACTTAGACCAGCTCCGCAACGCTGTCTCCTTCCAAGGAGCCGCAATTGGAAGACATGAGGAATTACTTCAAAACCTTATGGAAGGACTCCAGACCTTGGTGGGATGCCATGACCATAATTTCACTGTGTTGCTGAAGCAATTCTGCGGATTACCTACCAGTCAGCAAGCCACAACAGTAACCCACCAGACTTTCAGTTACCCCGCTACCAGTGGCGCTTCTTCCCAGCCTACCCCGCTTACCTCCTCCGGAGCACTACGCTGGAGATCCAGCGATAGCCCTATTTGGTAAAAGACCAAGTCCATATTATGGCAAGAACAGTTCAAATAAGCAAAGAGAAACGACAGTCCATCATTACTTTAAGACATGAAGGTAAGTCAATACGGAAAATCTCAAGAACTTTGAAAGTTTCTTCAAGTGCAGTTGCAAAAACGATCAAGCGCTATGACGAACCTGGCTCTCATGAGGACCGCCACAGGAATGGAAGACCCAGAGTTACCACTGCTGCAGAGGATAAGTTCATTAGAGTTACCAGCCTCAAAAATTGCAGCCCAAATAAATGCTTCACAGAGTTAAAGTAACAGACACATCTCAGCACCAACTGTTCAAAGGGGACCGTGTGAATCAGGCCTTCATGGTCGAATTGATGCAAAGAAACAACTACTAAAGGACACCAATAAGAAGAAGAGACTTGCTTGGCCCAAGAAACACGAGCAATGGACATTAGACCGGTGGAAATTTGTCTGGAGTCCAAATTTGAGATTTTTGGTTCCAACCGCCGTGTCTTTGTGAGGCGCGGTGTGGATGAACGGACGATCTCCGCATGTGTATTTCCCTCCTGAAAGCATGGAGGAGGAGGTGTTATGGTATGGGGGTGCGTTGCTGGTGACACTGTGATTTATTTAGAATTCAAGGCACACTTAACCAGCATGGCTACCCCAGCATTCTGCAGCGATACACCATCCCATCTGGTTTGGGCTTAGTGGGACTATCATTTGTTTTTCAACAGGACAATGACCCAACACACCTCCAGGCTGTGTAAGGCCTATTTTACCAAGAAGGAGAGTGATGGAGTGCTGCATCAGATGACCTGGCCTCCACAATCCCCTGACCTCAACCAAATTGAGATGGTTTGGGATGAGTCGGACCACAGAGTGAAGGAAAAGCTGCCAACAAGTGCTCATCATATGTGGGAACCATGTCAAGACTGTTGTAAAAGCATTCCATGTGAAGCTGGTTGAGAGAATGCCAAGAGTGTGCAAAGCTGTCAAGGCAAAGGGTGGCTATTTGAAGAATTTTTAATATCAAATATATTTTTATTTGTTTAACACTTTTTGGTTACTACATGATTCCATATGTGTTATTTCATAGTTTTGTTGTCTTCACTATTATTCTACAATGTAGAAAATAGTAAAAATAAAGAAAAACCCTTGAATGAGTAGGTGTTCTAAAACATTATACCGGTAGTGTATATACACATCTGGACATGTACATAGTGAACTCGTACAGATTGTAAATATGAAAATAGAATACAGTTTTAATTACTTGACCTACCGCTTCCATGTCAATATCAGACTGGGAAGAATTTACATTTGTGATCTCCTCCTGCAAGCGTAGCCAATTACGTTACACCTTATTGACATCTGACTTGAACCAATCAATTAGAATACATAAACATTGAATACATATCTCTGCAGTGGAAAGTGGAAACATAACCAGCCTTGTTACAGAAGCAACTTTGGATTGATTTAGGCAGGAAACTCCAAGTAAGTGTCAGGAATTTTCAAACATATAGTTGGGAGAGCTTATTTGCAGCAAAGGTAAAGGAATCAAAGCAAAAAAAAGGCAGTGAAAACAGGACAGACTACACAACTATTGATTCAACAGAGGCTTCAAAACAGCGATATGTGTGACATTATAGAATATTTTGTGAAGGAAATACTACCTGCAAATTTCTTAGCCAATGATCTCATCCACATTCAAAGTTTATGCTCTCAAAATTGCAGTCAGTGCAAGGATGCCATGTATAGCCAGGGTAAAAAACAAATAGTTGAAGTCATATTTCAGAAGTGTTAAGTTTTTTCTCTTCAACCCAATAAGTAGCACATATACAGTTGATTGTATTGCAATGACTGGAGTGGGTGGAGTAAGGAGTCACCAACACTCTGTATTAAACCCGTTGCCCAGCATAAGAGACCAATTTAAGTTTTGCTTTTATTGAGAAATTCCAAAAACATATTTTTGTATTTTATTACAAGTGTATTTTTTTTAATATAGCTTTCAACATACTAGTGTTTGTGTAAATGTTTAACATAAATAATTGATGATATGAATAACACAATATTACAAATAAAATATATCAAATTATCAATTTATTAAGGTGGTAGCAATGCTGTGAAAAACAGATGTACTGCACTAGAGCAGAGTTTACCAAACTCGGTCCTGAATGGGCAAGACAAAACATTTAAGTGCCTTTGAACGGGGTATCGTAGCAGATGCCAGGCGTACCGTTTTTTGTCAAGAACTTCAACGCTGCTGGGTTTTTCACACTCAACAGTTCCCGTGTGTATCAAGAATGGTCTACCACCCAAAGGACATCCAGCCAACTTGACACAACTGTGGGAAGCATTGGAGTCAACATGGGCCAGCATCCCTGTGGATGGTTTCGACACCTTGTAGAGTCCATGCCCTGACGAACTGAGGGAATAATAGGTGTTCCTAATGTTTTGTATACTCAGTGTACGCTCAAGGAATCTGAGGAGCAACTTCATACAATACTGTACAAAAATACAATTATTGACAGCTCAAATCTTATCACACAAAATCAGCTATTGGCCTGACATGGACCTGTCATTCATAGCCAGCACATGCTCCTTCACCAAAAGAGCTCCCCACACAGGGTCCACGATCAACTTGCCGACTAAACCCAAAGACACACCAAGATCCTCAAATACAGCCTCAACTAACCAGTGAACTGCAAACGATCACTGTACAAATAGTACAGACAAGCAGCGTTGTGAAAAGGGGGGGGGTTTTACTAAACTATATGGAATTGTTTTAAGAAGGTCATCAAGGCCCTCAAACTCAACTCTGGACCTTGTAGCCAGTTTTTTCATTGTTCCCCTCTAATCAGGGACTGATTTAGAACTGGGACACCAGGTGTGTGCAATTAATTATCAGGTAGAACAGAAAACCAGCAGGCTCCGGACCTGGTAGGGTAAGAGCTGAGTACCCCTGCTGTAGGCTATCTTTTGCCATGTGCTCATGTGTAGAATGGGAACACTGGTTAATCTTGGAAAAAGTTATATTTTGAAATAGAGCTCATCTCTTCACGTTTGAGAGTTATTTGGCAATGGTAAGTATTTTGGAAACCTCATCATCTGATCTTTCTGATACTATATATAGAAATCAAATATATAGAAATCAAAACTTCTTACCTGCATGTGACTCTGTAAGAGGATTTGAAAAAGTCACCTTTTGTCACTAAGGGAAAATAATGTCCTCATAAAACTGCTTATAACACAGATTATGTTCGTTATATCGAAATTTTAACATACATGTGTTAATTAGACTTATTTAGGAAAATGCAAGGGGGGGGGGGGGGCATGTGTGTGGGGGGCATAATGCAAGTAATGCAAAAGCAACTGAAAGTAATCAGTTTATGTTACGGAGTTTGGGTAATCCAAAAATTATGTTACTGATTACAATTTTGAACAGGTAACTAGTAACTGTAACAGATTACATTTAGAAAGTAACCTACCCAACACTGTGTGTGATACAGTATATGTTCACCTCACCCCCCTGGTCTGTGCATTCCAGACAAGCTGAAGAGCATCGACCTCACAGGGAACCAGATCTCTGGGGTGGATGAAGATGCGTTCCGCCTCCTGCCACAGCTCCAGAACATCCTATTGGCTGATAACAACCTGCAGGCGCTGCCAGAGCTCCCGCCCACCCTCAGATACATCGATGTGCGCAACAACAGACTGATCAGCAATGGACTACACACAGAGGGGTTCAAGGTGCACACACACACATACGTACACACATACACGCAAGCGCGCACACACACACACACTAGCTATAATTGTGATGAATTATTTGAAGTAAATGCCAGAAGGCATTCCTTGTTACCACATAATTGAACAGTAAATAGTTCAATGAGTTCAAAAAGTACTTGAAGCAGGACCGTAGGATACAGCCTCTCTGGATTGAATAGAGATGGAGCTACCTCTGGTGGCTTTTATTGATTTTTCACATTGTTGTTTTATTCCATCTGGCCTAAACAGGAGATGAGCCTGCTAGAGTTCCTGTATCTGTCTGATAACAAGCTGGACTACATCCCCGTCCCACTACCTGAGAGCCTCAGAGTACTACACCTACAGGTATCAACACGCATGTACAGCCATGGTCAAAAGTTTTTTTGAGAATGACACAAGTATTGGTCTTCACAAAGTTCGCTGCTTCAGTGTTATGATATATTTTTGTCAGATGTTACTATGGTATACTGAAGTATAATTACAAACATTCCATAAGTGTCAAAGGCTTTTATTGACAATTACATTAAGTTTATGCAAAGAGTCAATATATGCAGTGCTGACCCTTCTTTTTCAAGACCTCTGCAATCCGCCCTGGCATGCTGACAATTAACTTCTGAGCCACATCCTGACTGATGGCAGCCCATTCTTGCATAATCAATGCTTGGAGTTTGTCAGAATTTGTGGGAGTTTTGTTTGTCCACCCGCCTCTTGAGGATCGACCACAAGTTCTCAATGGGATTAAGGTCTGGGGAGTTTCCTGGCCATGGACCCAAAATGTCGATGTTTTGTTCACCGAGCCACTTAGTTATCACATTTGCCTTATGGCAAGGTGCTCCATCATGATGGAAAAGGCATTGGTCGTCACCAAACTGTTCTTGGATGGTTGGGAGAAGTTGCTCTCGGAGGATGTGTTGGTACCATTCTTTATTCATGGCTGTGTTCTTAGGCAAAATTGTGAGTGAGCCCACTCCCTTGGCTGAGAAGCAACCCCATACATGAATGGTCTCAGGATGCTTTACTGTTGGCATGATACAGGACTGATGGTAGCACTCACCTTGTCTTCTCCGGACAATATGTTTTCCAGATGCCCCAAAAAATTGGAAAGGGGATTCATCAGAGAAAATGACTTTACCCCAGTCCTCAGCAGTCCAATCCCTGTACCTTTTGCAGAATATCAGTCTGTCCCTGATGTTTTTCCTGGAGAGAAGTGGCTTCTTTGCTGCCCTTCTTCACACCAGGCCATCCTCCAAAAGTCTTCGCCTCACTGTGCATGCAGATGCTCTCACACCTGCCTGCTGCCTTTCCTGAGCAAGCTCTGCACTGGTGGTGCCCCTATCCTGCAGCTGAATCAACTTTAGGAGACGGTCCTGGCGCTTGCTGGACTTTCTTGGGTGCCCTGACGCCTTCTTCACAACAATTGAACCTCTCTCCTTGAAGTTCTTGATGATCCAATAAATGGTTGATTTAGGTGCAATCTTACTAGCAGCAATATCCTTGCCTGTGAAGCCCTTTTTGTGCAACGCAAATGAAGGCACGTGTTTCCTTGCAGGTAACCATGGTTAACAGTGGAAGAACAATGATTTCAAGCACCACCATCCTTTTAAAGCTTCCAGTCTGTTATTCTAACTCAATCAGCATGACAGAGTGATCTCCAGCCTTGTCCTCGTCAACACTCTCACCTGTGTTAACGAGAGATCACTGACATGATGGCAGCTGGTCCTTTTGTGGCAGGGCTGAAATGCAGTGGAAATGTTTTTGGGGGATTAAGTTCATTTTCATGGCAAAGAGGGACTTTGCAATTAATTGCAATTAATCTGATCACTCTTCATGACATTCTGGAGTATATGCAAATTGCCATCATCAAAACTGAGGCAGCAGACTTTGTGCAAATTAGTATTTGTGTCATTCTCAAAACTTTGGACCACGACTGTACACACACCCCTAATACACCTCACACACACCACTCATACACCTCACACAACGCTCATACTCCTCATACACCTCACTCACACCCCTCATACAGCTCACACACACACCGCTCACACACCCCTCATACACTCCTCATGCATCTCACACACACCGCTCATACACCCCACACACAAAATACTACAGGTTACTATAGAATACTATAGCATTCTGTAATAAACTGTACAGTACCTTGCAAAAGTATTCATCCCCCTTGGCGTTTTTTCCTATTTTGTTGCATTACAACCTGTAATTTAAATGGATTTTTATTTGGATTTTATGTAATGGACTTACACAAAATAGTCCAAATTGGTGAAGTGAAATGAAAAAATAACTTGCTTCAAAAAAGTCAAAAAAATAAATAATGGAAAAGTGGTGCGTGCATATGTATTAACCCCTTTTGCTATGAAGTGCCTAAATAAGATCTGGTGCAACCAATTACCTTCAGAAGTCACATAATTAGTTAAATAAAGTCCACCTGTGTGCAATCTAAGTGTCACATGATCTCAGTATATATACACCTGTTCTGAAAGGCCCAAGAGTCTGCAAAACCACTAAGCAAGGGGCACCACCAAGCAAGCGGCACCATAAAGACCAAGGAGCTCTCCAAACAGGTCAGGGACAAAGTTGTGGAGAAGTACAGATCAGGGTTGGGTTCTTTAAATATATCAGAAACTTTGAACATCCCACAGAGCACATTAAATCCATTATTAAAAAATGGTAAGAATATGGCACCACAACAAACCTGCCAAGAGAGGGCCGCCCACCAAAACTCACGGACCAGGCAAGGAGGGCATTAGTCAGAGAGGCAACAAAGAGACCAAAGATAACCCTGAAGGAGCTGCAAAGCTCCACAGTGGAGATTGGAGTATCTGTCCATAGGACCACTTTAAGTCGTACACTCCACAGAGCTGGGCATTATGGAAGAGTGGCCAGAAAAAAGACATTGCTTCAAGAAAAAAATAAGCAAACATGTTTGGTGTTCGCCAAAAGGCATGTGGGAGACTCACTAAACATATGGAAGAAGGTACTCTGGTCAGATGAGACTAAAATGGAGCTTTTTGGCATCAAGGAAAACGCTATGTCTGGCGCAAACTCAACACCTCTCATCACCCCGAGAACACCATCTCGGAGTGATGGCAGCATCATGCTGTGGGGATGTTTTTCATTGGCAGGGACTGGGAAACTGGTCACAATTGAAGGAATGATGGATGGCGCTAAATACAGGGAAATTATTGAGGGAAACCTGTTTCAGTCTTCCAGAGATTTGAGACTGGGACGGAGGTTCACCTTCCAGCAGGACAATGACCCTAAACATACTGCTAAAGCAACACTTTAGTGGTTTAAGGGGAAACATATAATTGTCTTGGAATTGACTAGTCAAAGCCCAGACCTCAATCCAATTGAGAATCTGTGGTATGATTTAAAGATAGCTGTACACCAGCGGAACCCATCCAACTTGAAGGAGCTAGAGCAGTTTTGCCTTGAAGAATTGGCAAAAATCCCAGTGGCTAGATGTGCCAAGCTTATAGAGACATACCCCAAGAGACTTGCAGCTGTAATTGCTGCAAAAGGTGGCTCTACAAAGTATTGACATTGGGGGGATGAATAGTTATGCACGCTCAAGTTTTCTGTTTTTTTGTCTTATTTCTTGTTTGTTTCACAAGAAAAAATATTTTGCATCTTCAAAGTGGAAGGCATGTTGTGTAAATCAAATGATACAAACCCCCCCCAAAAAATTCCAGGTTGTAAGGCAACAAAATAGGAAAAATGCCAAGGGGGGTGAATACTTTCGCAAGCCACTGTAGTATACTTTAAAATCATATACTACACTCTGTAGTATCCCTCAATCAAGTAGTGCTTACTATATCATTTTGAAGTATACTGTAGAATACTATACTACACACTGTATTGATATGCTAATATTACATTAGCATATTCCCTGCCCATTCCCCTTCCCATATCCCAATTTGTGCCACCCTTGAGTGAGAAACATACATGCCAAGTATAGACTATATCTTCTGTGTTGCAAGCAACATAGCAAACATTAAAGTCACAGAAAACCCCCAGGTGCTGGATCAGCTGGTGGAGAGGCTGGAGAATGTCCTCATCCAGGCCCGGGAGGATACCATCTCTCTAACCACCGTCAGGCCACCAAAGCAACAACTCCCACACCTCCTCCACCTTATCCAAAGAAAATTAAGGAGAGAATAAATCAAGACCAGATCCCCCCCCACACCAAAACAGAAATAAGTCGGCTCCAGAACCACATCAAATAACAACTTACCCTGCACCACCAGAATAAATGGACCGCATTCTACAAACAGCTTGACAAAGACTCCAACCCACGCATCTTCTGGCAGAAAATAAAGAGTCTTAATAGAAACACAAAGAACAACACAATTCCGACACTAAGGTCCCAGGGTCAACCCATAGAGAATAACTAAGAAAAGGCCATACTGTTAAAACAAAAAAACAATGACCCCAACTTTGACTCAGAATGGGAAAAAAATGGTGGATAGAGACATACGAAAAGCAACACCACTCACCTGGCTCCAGCAGACCACCAACTCATCCATGCTGTAACAATCCCAAAACCCCCACTAACCTTTCAACCGACACTGACCTTTCCCCCGGCACCAGCAGATCAGCCACTCATCCGAGCTGTAACAGTCACAGAAATCAGGACTCACCTAAAGAAAATGAAAAGAAAAGCACCTGGGGAAGGCAACATTGACACCATACTACAAAAACAAGCACCTGATGAATACCTGCACTTTCTCTCCAACCTCTTCACCTCATGTCTCACCCACGGCAACTTCCCTCAACCCTGAAAAACAGCAGTCGTCACCATGATCCACAAACCTGGCAAAGACCCACAGAATGTTTCAAGCTATCGACCAATCATTCTCCTCAGCCATGTGGGAAACTATTTGAAAGTGTACTCACCGCCAGAATAAATTGCGATGTAGAAGACAGGGGCCTTCTTGGAGTACACCAGGCAGGCTTCCAAAGAAACAAATCAACAACAGACAATATTTTAAGACAATCAGAGAACATTTAAAGAAAATTTGAAAAAATTGCTGTTTTCATTGCCATAGAAAGGCATTAGATAAAATGTGGCACAATGGACTGCACCACAGACTAGCAGAAGACAACCTCCAAGCTTCCTCCATAACCGCCAAATCAAAGTCAAGGTCTCCACAGCTATCTCTCCACCATTCACTCCAGAAGCTGGAGTCCCTCAAGGTGCAGTCCTCAGGCGACTTCTACATCTACATAATCTACATCCAAGACATTTGCTACCCCCCACCCTCTGTTGGACAGGTATCACAATTTGCAGACGACTTATGCTACTGGACCAGTTCTTAGTGTCCACAAATAGCCTCCAGAAAAATCAACAAGTGCATAGAACAGATAGAAAAGTGGTGAAATGAGTGGCGAGTGAAACTAAACTCTCAAACACAGTGCATTCTATTCACCAGAAACACAAACCTCAAACCAAAGAAACCCATAACCCTCAAAAGTGTTACATTTAAGAGCAACATGTTGTGGACGACTCACTTCCACTTTGTGGAAGGAAACACGGAGCACCACCGGAAACCATTTTAAAAGTATATTTTAGCTACATCAGATCACTCTTCGAGTACTGGATCACAGTCTCCACACCACAAATGAACCGACTGCAAAGAATCCAACTGTGAGAGACGGAATCTAAAACAAAAATCCAGAAAATCACATTGTATGATTTTTAAGTAATTAATTTGCATTTTATTGCATGACATAAGTATTTGATACATCAGAAAAGCAGAACTTAATATTTGGTACAGAAACCTTTGTTTGCAATTACAGAGATCATACGTTTCCTGTATGTCTTGACCAGGTTTGCACACACTGCAGCAGGGATTTTGGCCCACTCCTCCATACAGACCTTCTCCAGAACCTTCAGGTTTCGGGGCTGTCGCTGGGCAATACGGACTTTCAGCTCCCTCCAAAGATGTTCTATTGGGTTCAGGTCTGGAGACTGGCTAGGCCACTCCAGGACCTTGAGATGCTTCTTACGGAGCCACTCCTTAGTTGCCCTGGCTGTGTGTTTCGGGTCGTTGTCATGCTGGAAGACCCAGCCACGAACCATCTTCAATGCCCTTACTGAGGGAAGGAGGTTGTTGGCCAAGATCTCGCGATACATGGCCCCATCCATCCTCCCCTCAATACGGTGCAGTTGTCCTGTCCCCTTTGCAGAAAAGCATCCCCAAAGAATGACGTTTCCACCTCCATGCTTCACGGTTGGGATGGTGTTCTTGGGGTTGTACTCATCCTTCTTCTTCCTCCAAACATGGCGAGTGGAGTTTAGACCAAAAAGCTATATTTTTGTCTTATCAGACCACATGACCTTCTCCCATTCCTCCTCTGGATCATCCAGATGGTCATTGGCAAACTTCAGATGGGCCTGGACATGCGCTGGCTTGAGCAGGGGGACCTTGCGTGCGCTGCAGGATTTTAATCCATGACGGCGTAGTGTGTTACTAATGGTTTTCTTTGAGACTGTGGTCCCAGCTCTCTTCAGGTCATTGACCAGGTCCTGCCGTGTAGTTCTGGGCTGATCCCTCACCTTCCTCATGATCATTGATGCCCCACGAGGTGAGATCTTGGATGGAGCCCCAGACCGAGGGTGATTGACCGTCATCTTGAACTTCTTCCATTTTCTAATAATTGCACCAACAGTTGTTGCCTTATCACCAAGCTGCTTGCCTATTGTCCTGTAGCCCATCCCAACCTTGTACAGGTCTACAATTTTATCTCTGATGTCCTTACACAGCTCTCCGGTCTTGGCCATTGTGGAGAGGTTGGAGTCTGTTTGATTGAGTGTGTGGACAGGTGTCTTTTATACAGGTAATGAGTTCAAAGAGGTGCAGTTAATACAGGTAATGAGTGGAGAACAGGAGGGCTTCTTAAAGAAAAACTAACAGGTCTGTGAGAGCCGGAATTCTTACTGGTTGGTAGGTGATCAAATACTTATGTCATGCAATAAAATGCAAATGAATTACTTATTAATCATACAATGTGATTTTCTGGATTTTTGTTTTAGATTCCGTCTCACAGTTGAAGTGTACATATGATAAAAAATGACAGACCTCTACATGCTTTGTAAGTAGGAAAACCTGCAAAATCGGCAGTGTTTCAAATACTTGTTCTCCCCACTGTACCTAATTTATAAACACAACATAATCGCAATTAACATGAAACCTATCCCCTACCCCCTCTCCTTACCCTAATCTGGGTCCGTATCCTCCCCCTCCCCTCCCTCTTACTAAACATTACTGACTACTGGCATCTACTAACAGTTTTTTACACTTGTTTTTTTCTAAACTCCTTTACTATTTTAACTACTCTCCCACTAACTACGTTTCACTCATCACATTGGCACTCTTCTTTCCTTTAATTTTTTAAAAATCTCATCTAAGATTGTTTTAAAAGTTCTCACTTCTTATTGTTGTTATCTTTTAGTTTATTAAAGTTTGTTTTTATTAAAATCATGTTGGGGAATAAGTTAGCCGATTGCGTTTTGATCCTTGACCCACGTATTTGTCCAGTAGGTTACCTCATGGAGAAAGCCCAAATAATATAGTAAAGAAATAAGATAAAAGGCTATAGTAAATACTACAGCATACTGTCCTACAGTATACTGCAGTAATGTCTGCAAAAATACTACTGTAAATACTACAGTAATGTCTGCAAAAAACACCACAATAAACACTACAGTATACATGTCATATCCGTTAAAACATTACATTAAATACTACAGTATTTACTGTAGTGTTTTTGTGCAAAAACTGCTCAAACACTACAGTGAATACTATAGTATAGAAATATAGTAATACTACTACATTATACGTAAATATTTTTTCCTGTGGGACTCCCCACACTCAGCACAACAAGATTAGCATACACATTGCTGCAGACACTGTCTCAAACCTAGTTTTCTTTGAGGGCTGAAAATAGAGGAGACTAACTTTTCACCCCCACAGCTCTACTCCAATCCTCAGGCTCTCCCCCATATTGTTTCAGACCCAGTATAACCTGGTTTCTCGAATTCCCACTAAATGGCCTGCAAAGTCATAATCATTTCTGAAAACAAAAATTAGCTTTTTGGTCTTAATTTACGGTTAGGGTTAGGCAGGCATAAGGTTAACAGTGTGGTTAAGGTTTGGGTTAGAGTTAGGTTTAAAATCTACATTTAACAAGATAAATTGTAGAACTAGAAGGAGCTTCCGACTTTGCAACCTGGCCAGATAGTGACGACCTAGTTTCTCTCTCCTCCCCTATGCAGTCAATGGATTCATAACTAGCATAGAGTCAAATTAGAGCAATGACAGGATGAGAGAACGACTCTCCAGATTCAATGGTGTCTGTGAATTAATCTAATGACATCTGCCATCATGTCTCTGCTTAATCCAGTTTAATTACCTCATCATAGTAACACACAACCCCCCCCCCCCCCCCCCCCCCCCCCGCTCTCTGTTTGTCCGTCTGTCTGTCTCTCTCTGTCTCACTCTCTCCCCCTCTCCTCTCCCCACCAGAACAACAACATCCAGAATCTTCACGTGGACACATTCTGTAACAGCCACGACCGTAACTACATACGACGCTCCCTGGAGGACATCAGGCTGGATGGAAACCCTGTCAACATCAACCTGTACGCCTCCTCCTACATCTGCCTGCCTCGCATGCCTATCGGGAGCCACTGAGTGGGGCATTGAGGTGGCATGGAGGGAGGAATGGAGTAGCTCTGCAGAGAGGGAGGCAGGGAGGGGGTCTGCAAAGAGGGAGAGAGAGGTGAGGGAGGGAGGAAGGGGAAAGAGAAAGTATTCATTTTATAAAGCAATTCAAAGACAGAGAAGAGTGTGAGGGGTGGGGAAAGGAAGGATGGGAAGTGGGAGTTGTTCATTATATTCTGGTTCGCTATCTCTTTAACATTAGCTGCTATCTCAATCCTGACACCAGTAAGAGGCTGTCTTGACTGAACGATTCATTGGCAGATGGCCCGATAAATGAGGGTCTGTTTGCTTGTACCTGACTGTATCGACTGTCTGTCCGTCTGCCTGTCTGACTGCTACTTTTGCCACTGAAACATGTGTGTCGCCTCACAATGAGATTTTCATTCTCAATTATAGGTTGCCCATAATAAAAACAACTGTGATTCACTTAGCTTGTTTGTTAATCAACAATGTCAATTCATCAATTAAACCCTAAACACTGCTCCTTTATTGTCACTTCCCGTGTATTAATATAATAAAAAAGGTAGAGTAGCCAGATGAGTAGCCAAGCAGATCAACATTGTATTGTATTTTGTTTCATTTAATTTCCATTGATTATCTCATCACTGGGTTGTGTTCAGTAAAACGGCAGTGAGGTCAGAGAGAAACATCTACCAATCGCAAATGTAACCCTATAGCCCCTATCCCCTATGCATTTGTGGAGATCTGAGGTGAGGTATTACAATTTCATGTAGGTCCACTTTCCCTACTGATAGGCTAGGTGTAATTTCCGCCAAAGTGCTTTTACCTCTCAGATCTCCACAAGTGCATAGTGCATAGAGGGCTAGCTATGCAAAGAGACTGATGGCATAGATGGTAATTCTGCAAACTATGTAGTGATCAGATCTTTACAATGGTGGATCTCTTTGGATTTCCATATGAGCTATCTGTGGTAAGAAGGCCTCGATTAAGATTTGATGTGCGGTGCCAAGCCTTGTTTTAGGTCATATTACAGTATGCCCACAGAAGCCTACACAGTCGCCTACTCATCTTTTTCATGTAGTCAACAAAATAATAATTCTAACTCAGAATACATTTACATTTTAGTCATTTAGCAGACGCTCTTATCCAGAGCAACTTACAGTTAGTGAGTGCATACATTTTTTATTTTTCATACTGGCCCCCCGTGGGAATCAAACCCACAACCCTGGCGTTGCAAACACCATGTTCTACCAACTGAGCTACATCCCTGCCGGCCATTCCCTCCCCTACCCTGGACCAATTGTGCGCCACCCCATGGGTCTCCCGATCGCGGCCGGCTACGACAGAGCCTGGATTCGAACCAGGATCTCTAGTGGCACAGCTAGCACTGCGATGCAGTGCCTTAGACCACTGCGCCACTCGGAATACACACCTCCATTTTCTTTTCCTCACAGTCTTTCAATACAGTGCCTTCAGAAAGTATTCATACCCGTTGACTTATTCCACGTTTTGTTGTCTTACAGCCTGAATTCAAATTGGATTTCTGAAATGTTAGCAAATGTATTGTTAATGAAATACATAAATATCTCATTTATATACGTTTTCACACCCCTTAGTCAATACATGTTAGAATCACCTTTGGCAGTGATTACAATTGCAAGTCTTTCTGGGTAAGTCTCTTTTTAAAATGCTTCAAGCACTGTCAAGTTGGTTGTTGATCATTGCTAGACAGATTGTCAAGCTGATTTAAGTCAAAACTGTAACTAGGCCACTGAGGAACATTCAATGTTGTCTTGGTGAGCAACTACAGTGTATATTTGGCCTTGTGTTTTAGGTTATTTTCCTGCTGAAAGCTGAATGTCTCCCAGTGTCTGTTGGAAAGCAGACTGAACTAGGCTATCCTCTAGGATTTTGCCTGAGTTTAGCTCTATTCCGTTTATTTTTATCGTAAAAACCTCCCTAGTCCTTTCCGATGACAAGCATACCCATAACATGGTGCAGCCACCACCATGCTTGAAAAAATGAAGAGTAGTGTTGGATTTGCCCCAAACATAATGCTTTGTATTCAGGACATAAAGTTAATTTCTTTGCCACATGTTTTGCAGTATTACTTTAGTGCCTTACTGCAAACAGGATTAATGTTTTGGAATATTTGTATTATGTACAGACTTCCTTCTTTTCACTCTGTCATTTAGGTTAGTATTGTGGAGTAACTACAATGTTGTTGATCCATCCTCAGTTTTCTCCTATCACAGCCATTAAACTCTGAAACTGTTTTAAGGTCACCATTGGCCTCATGGTGAAATCCCTGAGCGGTTTCCTTCCTCTCCTGCAACTGAGTTAGGAAGGACGCCTGTATCTTTGTAGTGACTGAATGTATAGATACTACACCATCCAAAGTGTAGCTAATAACTTCACCATGCTCATAGGGATATTCAATGTCATCTACCAATAGGTGCACTTCTTTTCAAGGCATTGGAAAACCTCCCTGCTCTTTGTGATTGAATCTGTGTTTGAAATTCACTGCCGACTGAGGGACCTTAGAGATAATTGTATGTGTGGGGTACAGAGATGAGGTAGCCATAAATAAATCACATTAAACACTATTATAGTCCATGCAACTTTATATGTGACTGCTGAACTCATTGAGGCTTGCCAATACAAGGGGTTGAATACTTATTGACACAAGATATTTCAGCTTTTCATTTCTTATTAATCTGTAAACATTTCTAAAAAAATAATTCCACTTTGACATTATGGGATATTGTGTAGGCTATTGACACACAATCTCAATTTAATCCATTTTATATTCAGTCTGTAGCACAACAAAATGTGGATAAAGTAAAGGGGTGTGAATACTTTCTGAAGGCTCTGTACATTTGGATCTTTGCTCAAATGCATGTAATGCTTTAAAATGTATTCCAGAAATGCATGGCTATGACATCTAGTCTACAGGGTGACTAAAGTGGTTCCTAATTTGACTCTTTACGTATTGATCAATGGAGACAATTATTTTAGTAAGTGCCTCTCTTCAGCTTAATTCAATAATGAAAAAAAATCTAGTAATCGAACCCACAATTGCTGATGCTCCAGATAGTCAATTAGTCTCAAGAAGGCCAGTTTTATTGCTTCTTTAATCAGCACAACAGTTTTCAGCTGTGCTAACATAATTGAAAAAGGGTTTTCTAATGATCAATTAGCCTTTTAAAATGATAAACGTGGATTAGCAAACACAATGTGCCATTGGAACACAGGACTGATGGTTGCTGATAATGGGCCTCTGTACGCCTATGTAGATATTCCATAAAAAATCAGCCGTTTCCAGCTACAATAGTCATTTACAACATTAACAATGTCTACACTGTATTTCTGATCAATTTGATGTTATTTTAATGGACAAAAAAATTGCTTTTCTTTCAAAAACAAGGACATTTCTAAGTGACCCCAAACTTTTGAATGGTAGTGTATATAGATAATTTGTATGGAGATAATTTGTTGGGCCACCAAGCCAAAACTTTGGCAGCGACATCATTTAAATTGTGATGGTGAGAAAAAAAGCAGTTGGATTACACTAATTACATTAATTTTAACGTTCTGTCTTAATGAGCTCATGTTCAACTATATAAAAAACAAACATGTTTTCCCATCTCAACAGGTAAAAAAAAATGTCTATAGTAAGTGCCTTTCTTCAGCTTAATTAAATAATGAGAGATCGGGCACTAGGCTGTTCTTATTTTCCTATTTATTTATTTTTAAAACAAAAACTATACATTCTACAATGCTCCACAATATGTCAAAGTGTAGGTCTAGGTCTTATGCTTCCAATGAGTTGTATTATACGGCTCTAGAGTGGATGGTTAGCGGTGTTATGGTGCGTTCGTAACCACATTTTCAATATTTTGCATGTATCCTAAAAAAAGTATAAAAATATATATTGTAAATGTTGTGTTTTTTTCATATGGGTAAGCACAGACGAAGGATATCAAGGATCTGGAAGGTTTCTGTATGGAGGAATGGTCTAAGATCCCTCCAAATCATTTTTTAAAAAAGGCTCAGTGCTGTTATCCTCGCAAGGTGAGGTATTGAAAGGTATTGAAAACAGGGGTGTCAATAATTTTGACCCCTAACATTTTTTGAATAAAAAATATTACTTGTTAAACAAAATCTCTTTGTCTGAGCAATAGTCGGCACAGTGGACGTGTCATAATACCCATAAAACATAGCGGTAAAACCCAATAATGGTTCCAATAATTTTTTCCCCAATAATTTTTGCATGTGGGATTTTAGAACTACTTCATATAAGGTCTGTGTTACGTGTAGGCTTACCCTGGCATGGTGTTTTGATAGCTATGTAATTCTCTCTCGGACACGGTGAGTTTTATCAATATATTCACCTCAATTTACTCTAAAAAAATTTGAAATGCTAATTACCAACAGGGAAGACCTAAGCAAGACTACAAATTCCTGCAGGAAGCTCCTGCACGTCATCTCTAGCCGACACTGTCAACTACCGTTCACCAGCGCGATCAGAGAGCCGTGTCCAATCCATGATCTTCTTTCGTCCCTTTCCTCTGTCTTAGCTAGCCACTGACAACACTTTAGTTATCTAGTTAGCAGAGCAGTAGATCAAAACATTGTTTGGTTTTACTTAGCCTAGAGAACTGTTTGTACAGTATGTCGACTTTGGTGTCTATTTCAGACCTTATGGCATTTTTCAAGGATGAGCATAAGAGCATTAAAAGGGGAGAAGACCACTATAAGTCTGGCCATGTGGAGAAGTGCAGCTATAGTTAGGGGAAACTTGCCGGTTTGGTCAGGGCCATCATGAGGGATAAAGTTTATCATGTTTCGGTGAGTGTAGCTATTAAGTTAAGTTTGAGCATCTTAGCAATACAATGTTCTATACAGCTATCAACTTTCTACAATGAAAGAGCCACTTAATCAATTATATAAACATTCAACAGATTACCCCGGATACCAGACTTAGATGAGTGATAACTCAGTTCTAG